TTTTGTTTCAACACTCACAGAAAGCTATTAGTCTTCAGATTAAATGAAAATGTTTCTGAAAAATATCTGAAGAAAATAAACATTACATTAAAAAAAAAAAAAAGAAGTTTGGAAATGCCATTACAATGAGGTATGGCATTTTAAGGGGTAGTTCATCTGCTTTCATCCCCCATGTTCTTAGAGGCTGATGTTCCTAGTTAGAGTTACCTCAATGGATCTGCACAATACACATTAGTGGTTTCCCACAAAAGGAAGCTGACAGCCAAAAGCTCACTTTAGCTTATGTTTTTTTGTTTGCTTCTTTGTTTTGTTTTGTTTTCCAAAATAAAAACCAAGCACTGTGTTTTAAATGTAATATGGTATAGCTTATATAGTGTTTTTGTTTTTTTGTCAGTTGCATCACAATTTCTTGCTTATCTTTTATTGATATTGCTTCTATAATTCTGTGATCTATATAGATTGAATGCAATTCTATGATGCTGTCAAAAGGGACAGTCCTACTTTCCTTCCACCTCTACCATGTGTTTTGTGAAAACACTGTTTCATGCAGCCTCTTGTGAAAATCTGTGAGGGCACTGATAAAGCTGACAAATTACTAGATGGAAATGTTGCATCTGTTTGATCTGATTACTTCATTAACAGGAAAAAATAACTAGTCAAAAGAAAGTGTAAGACTGAGAATGTGTGAGAATGGAGGGGATGACTTTTCGGGAGCTGACTAATACTGGTTATGGAAGTACAGCAATTATGCAAAGCAGAAAATCCTACTTCCATTAAGGTCAATGGAAAAACACCCTTTTACTTTGAGAGCAGGCCTGCATCCAGAAGACCTATGGATGCTTCAGTATAAAATATAATGGAAATTTAACAAAGTAAATATGGTAGTGAGATTAATTTTTCCTGATTACAATTAATAAAATTACACTGAGTCATGAACTGCCCTTCCCACATTCTAAATACTCTGTTAAATGTAGTGTTAAATTATAGGGCACTGCACCTTGCTCAGTAAACCAAAAATATATCTAAACCAAAAATATATCTAAAAGTCTTCAAATAAGTGTTGCACTTCTGTACACCTGTTTTGTTTTTATTTGTTTGTTTTTATTAAGTGATAAAACTTGTAAGTTAAATTACATGAGAGAAATCAAATAGATGAAATGAAATCTGAAAAGTCTTTAGTGAATCATGGCCTCTAGTTACTTTTTGTTCTTTTATTTTTGAGAATTTGGCTTTACGTCTTCCTCTGTGCTTCAGTGATAATATTTATTGTCTGTATTGTGTACAAATGAGACAGAACAAGGCAATCTGACCCCAAGCAATGAAAGCTACTAATTTATTATTATTATTATTATTATTATCGTTATTTAGTACATATAAGAGGGTGAAAACAGGCTACCTCACCAAAGAAATTTTGTATGTTTCTATATAGTGAAACATCAAAATATTTCAGTCATATTTCCACTAGAATATTTCCACAGGTTCAAGAATGTAGGTCCTTCAGTGCTGTCATTCTACTTGAAAAGGAAAAACATGGACATCTAGCAATAACAATATGTAATGTAAAAATGGGCAAAGCTTCTCAATGTTTGTTTCAAGCAGTAAATTATACTAATTTTACAAATGGGAAAATATATGCAAGTATTAATGATTTGCTGGCTTCCCTCTGTCAAAAGGGAGACCAAAGTCAAGGTTTTCTGTCCTAATCACTGATCTACTGTCTACTGCAGCAGTGTAAGAGCTGGTCAGATAGCATGGTCAGATACCAATTAAACAGTCGTTTTTAACCAGTATAAGCACAACATCTTTATAAAGTCAACAATATATGTACATTTATTTTGTTTATAATGGGGTAACAGGGCTAAATATTTTTCTGTCTTTTATTTATTTCTCCCCTAGAAATTAGCCATGCTGAAAGCTGTATTCAGTGTGGATTCTAATTTCATCTTTTGTATTGTTTGTGCTATTGACCTGTATAATCTGTAGATTATTATCTGTAGACCTGTATAATCTGTAGCTCTAGACCAGGTTGCCCATAGCCCCATCCAACCTGGCAATGAACACTTCCAAAGATGGGTCATCCAGAGCTTCTCTGGGCAACGTGTTTCAGTGCCTCACCACCTGCACAGTAAGGAATTTCTTCCTAATATCTAATCTATTTTTTTGTTTGTTTGTTTAAAGCCATTAACCTTTGTATACCCACTGCACTACCTGACACAGTCCCTCCCGAGCTTTCCCGTAGGCCCCCTTTAGGTGGAAGGCCACTATAATGTCTCTCAGTAGCCTTCTCTACGCCAAGCTGAACAATCTCAACCTTCTCAGCCTGTCTTTATAGGAGAGTTGTTCCAGTCCTTTGATCGTTCTTATGGCCCTCCTCTGTACTCATGCTAATAGGTCTATGTCCTTCTTGTGCTGTGGGCCCCAGAGCTGAACACAGTACTCAAAATATCTGTGTTTTTACCTGACATCAGCCAGCCACTGAAATGAATTATGTTGACATATATTTCTTTTAATAATAAATAAATACATAAAAAGCTAAGACACTGTTCTACCTCCTACAGTCTTACAGGGGATTTCTAAAAATCAGTTTTGGTTAGGTTTTCTGAAAAACACACAGGGAAATTAAGACAGATATGAATATCTGGTATTCCTTACCATCTCAGACTAAGTCACCACTAATATTTTCTGAAGGAAGAGTCATTTCTTTTGACTCTTAATTTATTGGACATTTAGGTACGAAGTTAGGATCAGCTATCCAGGATGAAATGCGCTGGCACATTTCGATGTTTCACAAAACTCTTTGAAGTCTTGGAGCTACTCAGCTGTGGTAGTTAAGCTACAAGTCAACTTCAAAAATTAGCAGCTTCAGCTTGGACTGGTAAGTCTGATCTGATGAACCTGATCTGATTTCAGCCAACACAGTGGAGGATGGCCAAGAATTCATGGTCAGCGGATGAGGCCAATGGTATGGCAGCAGTTTGCAGTTAGATTGCCTTAAATCAATAATGAAACCACAGCAACAGGCTGTTCTGATTCTTAAAGGTCTTGTTCTCTTCTCAGGACTTTTGAAGTTTCAGCCAAAGCAAATGATTTAAATGATTTCCATCTTCTCTCTCTTTTTTTTTTTTTCTTTATTCTCCAACTTTTCAGATATGTAAATATTTGTAAACTGTACACTTTTCAAGTTGTTCCTTCTTCCAGTGAATATATAAAGCCACTAGCAATATCCATTAAAACAGAAACAAAACAAAACAAAAATACTGATTATCAACATAGTAGTGAATGTCTCCGCAAATACTATTGTTCTTGGACAGAATCAAAAAATGTGAGTTTTTTCACTACTAAAAAAAAAAAATGACTTTTCATTTTAAATAAAATTTTCTCTCTCTCTCTCTTTTCTTCCTTTCTTTCTTGCTTGCTTTCTTGCTTTCCTGCTTTCTTGTTTTCTTTCTTGTTCTTCCTTCCTCCTTTCCTCCCTCTCTCCCTTCCTTCCTACCTTTTTATCCTACCTTTTTTCCAACACTTCAGGAAAAAAAATGCATTACCACAAAACAAAAATTAAAGTAACAAACTACAGTAAGATTTTAATATTTAATTATTTTGGCTCTAACAGGCCTCTTTCAAAATCATGTGTGGGGATATCTTTGTGTTTTGGGTAGGGTTTATTCAGATGACAGTTCTGGAAAGAGATCAGGAAACAAGGAAAAGACTACCTTGATTAAGCTTTGGCAATGGCTGTTATGCAGCTGTGTAGTGTTGTTGTGTGGGATGCTGGTGCTAACCAGAGAGTGACAATAAAGGGAGTTGGAGTCTATTTGTCCATGTTTTTCCTTTTCTCCAGTCATCTACCACAATTCTCCAGAACCTTCTAATGAGTGGCAAGTAAATGTCCTGGAAAGTACTGAAAAGTTGATAACAGCTGAGAAAATGGAATCAGAAAATTCAGAAACTGAAATGAAACATGAAAGAACCATAATGTCAAAACTATACACTCTTCAGTGATTTGTTTACTGCATTTATTTTCTACATTTCAAATACAGGTGTTAATGCTAATCACTGTAGCATATAAACATTATTTATATTAAACAAGGATGTTGGAATATAAGATTTTTTTTTTTTACTTTAAACAATTTAGTCTTCTATTTGTATAGCAAGATGTTTTGCTTTGTGTTGTTTTGTTTTGTTTTATTTTAACCGAGAGGAAAAAAAAAAAGTGACTACAGCTTTTCCATATCATCATTGTTTTAGCAATGGGATAGGAAAGCAATTTCTGAGGTGTTGATTTTCCTCTGGGCAAATGAGTAATAATGGATAAATAATGAAAGAGAGCAGCAAGATTTACTGATAGGATATTGATATTCTTTCAAGAATAATAAGTGAATACACTTTCTGGACAGTTTCTGGAATGTAGATAGCAAAATAAAGCACACCATAAAGATTCTTGATTTTCTTTTTCTTGTGAAACAAGGAGTATCCAAATGTGAATTGTTTTTTTTTTTTTTTTTTGCTTATGTAGATAAATTACTAGGTAAGTTTTGCTTAGTATGAAGTTCCATAGTCTAAGAAAGAAGGCAAATGAATCTGTGACTGTAGATGTAGCTAAATCCTTTCATCTTACTAGACATTTAAAACATATATTGATTCAATTTAATCTTATCTTGAAGGAAGAAGGTATTTGCATAATTTTTTTTAGTTTCAGAAATTTTTGAAAGCATATCAAATGACATTTCCTTTGGTAACAATTCCTAGTTATTTCTAGGAATTCCTAACAAGTAATAAGTAATAAGTATGTCTATTTATGCTGTACTCAAAAATGTTACATAAAATATATTTTCATAGCTATTTCTTAATGAAATATACTGCTAAATGCCTAACAGTATTATTAATAAGATTATATCATTATACAGTAAACAGTATAACAGTAAAACAAAATACTGTTTGAGGTTATTCATAAAACATAATTTAACTGAGCAAAGCTAAAATATTATCTTTGTCTTTTTTAGGAGTGAAATTATATTATGAATCAAAACATGAACATAGGCTCTTTTCAGAAAATAATGGAAGAGATGCAGGTTTTTAGGACCCAACCAAGACAGCCTTATAAATCAGCTGAAGTTCGCCAACCAGATGGCAATATGTGTAATTCAAATCTTCCATCTCAACATTTCTATCCATATTCATCTAATTATACATGTATGCATATGAATTACAGCAGCGATTTGGAAATTTTTGAAGCAGTAAAAATTCGGGAACTGGAAGAAGTCAAAGCCAGAGCTGCACAAATGGAGAAGACCATGCGCTGGTGGTCAGATTGTACTGCTAACTGGAGAGAGAAATGGAGCAAAGTTAGAGCAGAAAGAAATAAAGCCCGAGAGGAAGCAAGGCAATTGAGAATAAAATTAGACAACGTTGTAAAGGAAATGAGTATGCTTAAAAAGTTAAATCAAGATTTAGTAAGTGAGAAGGAAAATTTAGAAAATGTAACTACTTGGAAAACCGAATGCAGTTGCTCAGAAATATATCATATAAAACAAGACCTAAACCAGTTAACATTTCCTGAACAAGAACCTGTGAAAGAACTGAGCAAAACCAACACGATTCCTGTGGCAGATGATGCAAAGAAGGTAAAGAATGGGGATTTTTGTAGCTCATTAAGAAGAAGGAAATTATGGATGTGTGTAGGAATTGAATTTTTCAAGGATTTTCACCAAAATACCATGTGATTTGTTCATGAGAAATATGGAAGACTATTCATACTCCTCAGCTGTGGCTAAACATAAAAGAGGCAAACTGTTGCCTCCAATAATCTCTTGTTCTATCTTTCATGTTATAAGGTATCAGGTTACCTCTAAATTCTTCACATTTTGTGTACTGTTATGTCCAAAAAAAATAAAATAAAAATAGTTCTCCTTTCTTGGAATTTATGAAATGAGGGAAGAGGTGAATCAAATTCCTCTTCAAGGTAGCAAGATTTTTATTTGGTAAGGAGAGCAATTAAAATCTCAAAAGAACAGACTGGTATGAAACAGTACTGTTGGTACCATGCTAAAATGTGATTAGCTTTTAAGCACAATTGGTTAGAGGTTATAAAATTTAAGCATATTTCTGAAGAAAACTGTTCAGTCTTCCTAATGCAAATGTATTTTATTTTTTAGTCATTTTTCTACCTGTTTTTAATTTTGCTTGCAGTTTACATGCAAAATATGTACCCTCAAAACAGGTATTATAGTGCTTTTGCTTTCTGGATTGGACACAGATTGGTATGTTATGCAAGTAACTATTCCTTATACAAAACTTGTTAAAGTCCATCACTTGCTTCAATATGATTTTTATTAGAAGTCTAAGAGTTCTTATCTGGAATTTCTCAATATATTATCTGTATGTACAAATTCTGTTTCTAGTTTTAATAGTTCTAGGTTTCTGTCTTCACCATAGTTACAGCCAACTAGTGATAACTGGAACCTATTTGTTTAGGAGTGATACATTAGAAATATCTTGTATACGGAACATCTCGCACATTCACAGAGTGTGAAATGTCACGAAACGACAGTGATTACTCCAACCAGAATGACTTCTTTGCATTAGAAAACATTCTAATTGTATCCTATGCAAGTATACAAGATGTTACTTATTCCCTTTCCCCCCCTACATGGTTTAAGTGTTTGGAAGAGCCTTGGTAGGCCTTGCAGAAGTTATGTTTAGACTTCTCATTTATGTTTTTCTGAAATGTCATGTTTTTCTCTTTTCTTAGGATGTGGAGATAATCAAAGACCCTTTAAGAAGCAATCAAAATAAAAAAACAACTCTAAAGCATTCTGATTCCTTTCCTTGTGGAATTGCCAGTATTTATTTGGAGGAACCAAAAAAAAGTCTGGACAATATAGCCCAGACATCAGAGAATGGTTTAATACATGTTTCTGTCTTGCATTTGCATTTGGCTGAGTTACAGAAAATCTTACAGAAGGAAAGAGAGTAAGTGCTTGGGGGTTCTCATTGGGGAAATCTTTATTTAAAAATAAGTTTTTAAAGACATTTTCTAAAGTAGATATGGTGATGTTTTGCATTTGCAGCTCATATTATGTTATCCTAGATATTTCTATGCTTTATTAATTGCCTTAAGTAATTCAGAAAAAAAAAGTATTAGTTAGTGGTTTTGAAAATCTATATTTCCCTGTTTTGAAAACATTTCACAGTACTATGTATGTGTTTCTTGTTTTCTTTTTCTTATTTGTCATTTGCATAAGACGCACTCCATGTAGAAGTGTTAAGAATATACAGTTAATCACAAAATCATACTTACCAGTAATGTGGTACCAATGAAATAATATCTAATGTTTGTTGTACTCAGTTATTGGAGTGCCTTGTGCTTAAGAGGAAATTTTCATAGACTTTGATTTCAAAGTCCACCTACCTCAGGCAGTACCTGCTTACATAGCAGTGATTTTTACATAATAGTGGACACTGGTGTAACAACTTCCTCCCTAGGTCACCTTGGGCAGCGTTTCCTGCTTACAAAGAGGTTCTGTAAGCAGAATATATGCAACTTGAAAGTATGAAGTAATTATTTTTGGCTATGCACACAATATGTACCTAAGAATAATGTTACTAGGAACATTATTAACATAGTCACCAGTCTTTGAGACGCCCTATGAGTCTTTTTTGGGCAAGCTATCATCTGCCAGCTCACAAAGAATTAGTCTCCACTTCTCATGGGAATGGGATGATTTTGATGAGTTGACATCTTGAGATTCCCAGATTTTCTCTAAGATTTATACTTCATTTTCATACTTCCTGGATCCTGGAGCTGCTACTAATCACTGTCTAAGTGTTCTTACTCCTCTTTGCATTTTTACTTATCTTGCATAGCTCTAGCTTAAATATTTTCTCACATCTTCCTCACTATTTATCAGTTTTCTCAATAAAAGTAAGCCAAGGACACTGCTGTGCTGCATCAAAAGCAAGCTTGGTTTATAGACAGCTTGAATCCACTAGGCCAAAGGTGATCTTGGCAGCCAGTATGATCTTGCTCATTCTGCACAGGACCATTCAGAATTTTTTTTCCCCACAGTGCTCCAGAATTGCGGCTACATTCTCTCCAAACTCAAACCAGCTCATGGAGTCATGCAGAGCTACTGTTTGGACATGCCTCTACTTACCTTACTAACCTCTCCATAAGCAATTTAGATGGTTCTGCTTCAAGAATATGAAATTGCAGAGGCAGCAAGAAGATAGCTCATTCAAGTGAATTGCTTCGTTGGCATAGCTAACATTGCTTCCAGGCCCTGAGCCAGATTACTCAGCGGTAACTCTCATACTTCTGCACAGGCCTGCAGTGTGCTGCGTAGACATACCCTAGAGACATATCTCATCAAATATACTATGGTTTAATTCCTGTAAAGAATTCCTGTAAAGAATTCCTGTGACATACATTTATTTTATTGCTAGTCAAATTTTCTTTTTTCACTATTTCAATATCTTTCTCTTTTCTCATCACCCTGCATCCCTCTAGTTTTGTATTATGTATATAATGTAAAATTTTCATCTCCCAACCTAATAGTGCTTCTATGGCTTTACTGTTTTTCATATTTTAGATTTCTTCAGAGTCCTGACTTCCATATTTTATTCCTGCATTGCTGTTTATAGCCAATTGAATATTCAGGGATTATAAACTGTGACAGTATTTCATTAAAAATTATTAGAAATATAATTTAAAAGATTTTATTTGCAATTAAGAATTATTTTTTCTTTCATTTTTAGTTGTGGTCCAAATTCTATTTTGCTAGACTATTGCAAAATGATGTACACATGCTACACAAATATTAAATTAAATTATGAAAGCATAAATTATTAATAGATATAAATTACAAATAGGTTTAAAATGTGTAAATTATGAGAAGTTCATTCTTATCTTTGGAACTTGGCTAATAGTCTTTACTGTGGACACAGAAATGAGTTTTTAACTGGTCTCAAAGACAAGAACACCTATAGTGCTTATGCTGCTTCATATTTCTTACATTATCTACTGAATGGTTGAAAATAATGTAGGTGTTTTGAAGACAGGTAAAAATCAAAATCAAACTTCAGTGTTTCAGTACTGCAATACCTTTCTCCAAGGAACCATCATCGTTCATTCTTTGTGAATTACATATCTTAAATATTTTCCTGAATATAAGAATGAGCATGCTCAAATAACACTCCAAAGGCAAATCCTTAAAGTTGTCACTTTAATGAGGATGAGTCCCTCTGAGCTAAACAATCTGAATTTCCAAATTTTTTAAACAGCTAAGTAACACATTTTAACTTTTTTTTTTTTTTACTTTTTCTTTTTACATCTAAAGTAGATCCTGTGGATTTCTGTTCATTACTCTGTACATACTGTATATATTTCCACATATGTGCGTACTTAAAATAATCTTTTACCTGTAGCCAAAAAAAGTGGTACAGTGTCTTTTCTCTGAGGATTTTTGTTATCTAACCATATATTATGCAATCTAGATCACTATTTGAAGTCTATTTCCCAATTTTCTTCAGTTGAGCCCAAAGTTTCATTTAATTTAAAATTTGAATTTTATATGACTGGATTTCTTTATTCTTCTCTGCTATTATTTTTGGTAAATCTCTTAGAATAATTATATGGTGATAGTAGGCAGGCATGTAATTAAAAACAAACAAATAAGCAAACAGAAAACAAACCCCACAAATATATAGTTGGAAAAGGCAGCAAAATAGAGCTGAACCTATGTAAAGAAAATTAAATATAATTTGTCTTTTGTTGTCTTCAAAAAATGTAATACTGATATTTAAATCACTTTCAGAATGAACGTATTTCTGGAAAAAGAAGTGGAAAGGACAGCAAATGAATTATCTCTTTGGAAACGGAAATATGAAGAACTAAGACAATCTAAGCTAGAAAGTCTGAACCAGGTATGCTAGCAATATTTTGTTGTAATGTGGAATAAGAAACAAACTTCAGATTTTCCATGTGTAACTAAGAATAAAATGATTTTTAGGGTTTACGAAAATGATAAACAACTATTTATTTATTTATTTAAAAACAACAACAACAACAAAAAACTATTCACCACAGGATCATAGAATAATTCAAGCTGGAAGGATCCTACGGAGGTCTCTGATCCAGAGTTGGATCATCTCTGAGCATCTCGGGATTATGCTCGGGATTATGTTCAGTAAAGTCTTGAAAGTCTCCAAAGATTGGAGGCTGCACAGCCTTTCTGGGCAGCCTGTCCCACTGGTAGACTTTTCTTATGATGAAGAAGGTTCTGGCTTCTGATGGAATCATCAGAACATCTCATGTTCCAATATAAATGTATGCTTGTTGTGTGTTCTCCCAATTTGCACCACTGTGCAAATTGACCTGGCTTCATGTCTTTGATAATCCCTCTGTAAGTAACGGTATTATCAAAGAGAGGAGAGGCACACCGAAGTCCTCTCTTCTCCAGGCTGAACAAACTGTGCTTCCTTGGCCTCTCATCACAGGGCAAGTGCTCCAGTATGTAACTGTCTGTGTGGTCTTCTTCTGAGCATGCTTCAGTTCATCCACATTTTCCTGTGCAAGGCACCCCAAACTGGTTGCGGTATTCTGCATGTGGTCTAACAAGTGCTGAGAGCACTCAGCTAGCCTGTGTTACTGTAGTGATTTTACCTTGCTAGGTGGCTGAGTTCCACCACAACTACTCTCTCACTCACCCTCCTCAGAAGAGGAGGGGAAGAAGAAAAGGAAAGAAACAACTCATGGGTTGAAATAAAGATGATTTAATTAAATGCAAAATAATTAAGGGAAAATTATTATTTATTAATTAATTTAACTAAAGGGAAAATGGAAAAGGGGAAACAAACAAACAACTACAACAACAACTAAAAAACAAAGGTCATGTGGAAGTGCAGAGGAAAGAAATTGCACCAGCAAGTGATGCTTGACAACGTTCTTGAAGTAGGGCCTCAATGCATGTAGCCATTGTTTGGGAGGAAACACTTTTTCATGAGAGCCCACCCCTCCCCTTGTCTTCCTTTTTCCACCTTTTATTGCTGAATGTGGCATCATATTTTTTGGAATTTCCCTTTGGTTGGTTTAGGTCAGCTGCCCTGGTGATGTTCCTTTCTCACCTCTTGCCCACCCTGAGCCAGCTGGCTTTGGGGATGTTACAGGGAGTCCTGAAAAGGTGCCAGTATTGCTTAGCAGTAGACAAAACACTGGTATGATACTCTTCTAGCTACAAGTGCAGAGCACAGCTCTGTATGGTCTGCTGCAGAGAGTTAGCTCCATCCCAGACAGACCCAGTACAATTATTACTAATACCACGTAAGGTGCTTTTATCCATCTTTGCTGTCAGGGAACATGGCTAGCTTACATCAAGTTTGCTGCCCACCAGGACACCCAAGGACATTTCCAGAGAAGCTACTCCCCAGTCTTTCCATTCTCTGTCTCTGTTGCAAAAGAATCTCCCTTCCCAGGTGCAGAGCCAACTTTAACCTGAACTATGCATTAATATGAGGAGGAAACAGCAATTGGCAGTAGTGGGAGAGTCCCTCCTGTGGAGACTCTGTGTGGAAACTCTGTGTCTCACACTTGACATTTTGAGGTTTATGTTGCTTGCTGTGGACTTTGATCCAGGACATGTGGAGAGATTTCCAAGGCTTGTCCAGTTCTTAGACTAGTACTCCTGGCTGCTCATCCACATTGGCACCAGCAGCACCGTGGATGTTATATTGAGAATGAGTATATGAGTATGTCTCCGGGCTTGACATCTGTGACATCTTTATTCAACAAGCTGGTTAGCATGATGAGGAGAGTTTTGAACAAAGAATGGTGTGGGAAGGAGATCACAAACCGTAGATTAAGTGAACAAGTGGTGGTCAAGGGTGGGAAGCTCAGGGTACAGATTGATAAGAGCAAGAGAGGCTTCAGGAATAAAACAAGGTGAAGGTATACCTTCCAGTATTGATATAGAAATACACATTCTCAGAAACAAGCAGGAACAGTTAGAGCTGTATATGATTACAGAACTACAATATTGTTGGAGCAATTAAGATACTCTGCCAAGTTCATACACCTGGAGTGCTGTGAAGGACTGATGTAAGCTTTTCAGGTAAGACAGGGAAGGGAGGCATGAAGGGTTGGAACTTGCACTCAGATCTATAAACAGCTCAAATCTTTCAAGATCTTCTGTTTGATGGTGATAGTTGAGCTAAGAACTTGTGGGTTGAGATCAGAGTAGAGACCAGTAAGGGTGAGATTGTGGTGGGAGCTTGTTACAGACCACCTGACGAGGAAACGAGTAAGTCTTTAAAGAACCTAAGTCTCTGAATTGCAGAATCTGATTCTCATGGGGGGCTGACAGTACAACTGATAGAAGGGCATCATGGCTGGATGTGATGCAATCAAATTCTGAAGGATTTCAGAAATAATTCCTTGCTGTAGGTATTAGACGGACCAACGAGTGACAATGTATAGCTGGACCTGCTGTTAACTAATATAGAGGGAAGTAATTGGAGATGTGATGGTAAGTAATGTCATTGTCAATAATGACTTTGAAATCTGTGGCCTGTGGTCCTGAAGAGAGTGAGAAAGACAAGTAGTAAGAACATACAGACCTTGAATTTAAAGAAAGAAGAGGGTTGTCTTAGTCGGGGAAGTGGTGGGTGGGATCTCATAGGAGGTAGCTCTGACTGATAAACAAAGGAATTCATCAAAACCAGCAGGCCTCAAGGCCAGTATCTTCCAACTGCAAGAAAGAGCTGTCCACATAACTCTAGAGAACTCAGGAGAAGTAGATGTGTCAGGAAAAGGATTTAGCTTAGCAGAGAACTCACAGTGGAGTTCTGATGTCAGAAAGCACTATACAGGAATTCATGCTACAAAGGAGAAATATAGGAACGTAGCCGGGGTATATAAGGATGGTGTTAGGAAAGCAGTGTTCATTTCAAAATAAGTTCATGAGTAGAAGGCTAACAATTACTTTTGTTGCATCATTCTGTATTTAGCTTTCATAAAAACAGGACCTCTTAAATCCAACAAAACTCAAAATATAGATCTATATAACCAAATTTCAGCATAGAACTGACATTTTCGTATAAATTTAACATATCAGATTTAGAATAATCTAGGCAAATTAGTTAACTTTCTTTTCACATTCTGGGAAAGATCGCGAGCAGCTTATTAAATTCCAAGTCCTAATTACAAGGTGGTGCATGTAAATGAAAGCTCTTTCATAGATAAGCATCCATAGCAACAAAATAACATCTGTCATATTTGAGTTCCATCAGATTTTAGTTCTTTATTTTCTGTTTGCTCATTAAGTATGATTTTAGCTTGTCATACTTCTGCACAACAGAAGTAAATCCAGATTTAATTAATAGTCTTGTTTAAGAATGGTGGTCTTCATGTTTTACGGCACTGTCAGCAGGAATGGAACAACAAGGAGTAAAAGCTTGCTGAGAAGAATTTGAAAATTGATAGCTTCCAGTTTTTATTTATGTGCATGTACAAACATACATGCATGTTTCTGCTTTTTATCTGAGGAACATGCTGACTTGCTTTAATTGCAAACAGGTGTTATTTTGAGCATTCTATTTGTCTTCTGAGATTTACAAGACATACGTGTTTTTAAATTTCAGGAGAGCATTGGTCTGGATGAATGTGACAAATGTCAATGAAATTATATTTGTTCTTGTTGTATTTTAAGTGAAAATTCTTCCTTTATTGAAATATACACATCCCCAACTAACAAGATTTGTATGTGAATTGATATTTTTATGAGAAATGGATATTGAAGAGCCATCCAAGGTTCTTGACAATGAGTAATTTGGAAGGGAAATAAAGGAAAGTGCAGATAAACATGGAATCTGATTCATATACACACTTGCAATATTAAATCACAAATCAATTTATAAATTTATAACATTAATCATTGCTTTGGGATTATTTTCATGTCCTTAACCAAGAGTTTTTGGCCTCAGAGTCATGAATAACTTATTCTGTTATGTCCTTTGGTAGATCACCTGACAGCTCCACTGGGAATGTGGAAAAGAATGCTTAGATTTTCAGTGTCAGTGCCACTGCAAATTAAACCATTTTTAACAATAACTCTGCTAGCTTTTTGGAAAACTCTGAGATTTAGTGCAATGTTATAAGCTTCATAGCTGCCAAGAATATTAGTACTCCAAATAACTAATTATATTCTGTTGAAAGATGTGTATCCACTCATCTGAAAACAAAACAAACTAAATATGGAAAACCACAATGATCTTGGTAATCATCATCTTCTTCTTCTTTTTTGCCTTTTTTTTTTTTTTAATAGATCAATTTTGCATCACTCGGAAACTGTAAATCAGTTCTCAATTTCTTGAGTTCGCTAAGAAAGGTAGTAAAGTGGCAATTTATTTTTACAGTAACTACAAGCATTATCTATAGCTTTATGTGTGATTGTAGCATTGAACTTGGGCTAATTGGCTTCATAAATTAGATAAATTTTATGGATTGACATGAAATTGCATTTAGTGTTGAAATTGCTTGTTTCTTTTTCTGTTGTAAAAATTTTACTCTCCCACTAAATAGTAAAATAAGAAGTTAAGATTTACACTGAGAAGTTTATTCAAATCTTGGTTGATATTTGGCAGCACAGTTTCTTCATTTAGAAAATTGTCTCAGCTTTCTTTAGAGAACTAATGAATTAACATTTATGTACACCAAATATTTTCTTGGAGAGAAAAGAGTGGAGTGCCTCTTCATTACAATTTCTGTTTATTGCAGGAAAAATGTGTTGAGCTACCTGGCTATCTTGCAAATTATTGTAAACTTGTGGCGTAACAATGCTGTCAGTCTCAGAGATGATTAGATAAATTTTGGGCTTTTGAAGAGAATCATTTATGTGCTTTTTAAAATATACACAGCCCATGTGATCATA